TCCTGTAGGGAAATAAGGTAGTTCCGCTGGCCTCTCTCCCATGATGCTCATCTTCCCTGAGCCTGAGGGATGAAGGGAAGAACGATGGTGGCCAAGCCATCGGGTCTCCCCAAAGGCCTCTGCTGGAGTGGGGGCGGGGAAAGGAGACAGCAGCATGACAGGCTCATCTTCATCATCCTATCAATAGATGGGTGGGGCTGGTGATGGTGAGGTGACAGTGGCAGTGATGACGGAGACAGCAGTCACAGAGAACGAAACACAGTCCACACACAGACTCAGGGGTAGCTTTCAGAGGTCAGCCTGTTTCCTCTCACGGCAGCGCTGAGGTACAGGTTATCATTACGCCCGTTTCACAAAGGCCGAGAGACCATGCTCAGGAAGGTGAAGTAACTCACCCAGTCACACGCCTGCTGATCAGCACAGCTCAGAGGGGAGCCCAGGCGGTCTGGCTCCAGGAACCCTTCTGAGCAACCCCCTTATTTGCAGATGGAAATTAAGGTCCAGGGCTTGTCAGTGAGCCGCCCGGGGTCACACAGCCAGGCCTCGTGACTTCCGCTCCTGGCTGGCTCTCCCGGCGGCTCCACAGGGCTCGGTGTGTCTTTGCTTCTCACAGTGGGGCATGGATAGTGTGGCTCTTCTGCCGTCTCACTTCCCTGACTCCACACATGCTCCAAGCAGACCCCTGGGGACTTCTCACACACCTGCCCCGTTAGCTGCTGCGGAGGCACCAGGCCGGGGATTCCGCGGCCACCTGCTGCCTTCACAGAGGGAAGCTTGTTCCCCGCGATAGTGATTGCCAAGGCCACAGGGTGCGCTGCCCAGGCTGGCAGGGCCGGCGCCCCCTCGCAGTCACTCCATCGCTCCTGCGACTTGGCTTCTTCTCTCTGTCAGAGGACAGCTGTGCTTGTCCCTGACTATCAGAGGGCCGTCCTCTGGAACTAGAGTCCTGTTTCTCCAGATCCTCCGGTGACAGAGGGGAGGGGGTGGCTTGGCTCTCAGTGGGCGCGAAGGGGAGGGCCAGGGTGATGAGAACTCTTCCTCCTTTTGCAGCGGAGTTCACCGGCCCCCCACAGAAGCCGCCGAGGCTGGGCGCACAGGTACGTGTGGGCTCTGTCAAGGCTCCCCGAGACTTAAGACGGCCAAGACTTCAGAGCCCCCCCCCCTCCCGAAATAATCTAGCCCAGTGTCCTCTTAAGGCCCAGAGAGTCCTGTGCCATGCCTAAGGCCGCACAGCGAATCTATGAAAAAGCAAGGAAGACCAGTCTCCCGTCTCCCGTGTCTCCTCCCCAACCTGAAGGGACAGCGCATGGGTCCTGCCCCGGGAGCAGGAGGTGGGGGCCCCTGTCTCCCTGGCGCATGCCCCCTTGGCATTCAGCACCCACATGGCTCCTGCAGCAGCCTGGGCTGGGCGCTGGCTCTCCTCACTCGGGAGCAGCGGCTCTCAGCTGTGGCTCTCCGTTAGAATCACCGAGGGGCTTTTGAACACACACACACACACACACACACACACACACACACGCCCAGCCTCCATGCCAGGGGATGGCTCAGTGGCCTGGCGTGAAGCTGGCCACCAGGATTCTGTAAGGCTCCCGGCCAGCCGAGTCTGATGTGAGAAGCACTGCCCGGAAGCAGAAGGAAGGGGTGCCCCCCCCGCCCCCCCCCCGGACCAGGCACTGCTCTTTTGGGGAAGATTCTTTTCAAACTGGGCCGGTGGCTGCGTTGGCACCTCGAATGCCAGCCCAGGAAGGAATGGCAGCATTTCCCTGACTCCAGACACTCCCCCCCCACCACCCAGTCCATCCAGCCCACAGCCAACCTGGATCGGACCGACGACAAGGTGTACAGCAATGTCATGGACCTGGTGCAGGCTGTGCTGGACCTCAAGAACGAGCTCAGCCAGCTGCCCCCCGAGGCCTACGTGGGGGTGGTGAAGGTGAGCGCCGGGGGCAGAAATGGGACCGGGTGGTGGAGGCTGTGCATCCCAGCCCTGGGAGGAGGGGCGAGGGTGGAGCTCCCTGGTCGGCCCCAAAGGTGTCTTGACCCAGGAAGAACCCCCTTAGCTCAAGGTGGTCAAAGCCCATTGAGTCCTGGGAAGCCTCGGAAGGCAGCTGCCCATCAGGGATGCTCTCCCAAGGGAGCATGGCTTCCTCCACAAGCAGAAGCTGACCGGCGCCCTGCCCTTTCTCTCTCAGAAGGTGGGCCTGAGCCTGCGGAAGCTGATCGGCAGTGTGGACAGCATCCTGCCTTCCTTGCCGGCATCGTCGCGTACGGAGGTGAGCGTCCTTGTCTCGGACAGAGCCTCTGGCTCCTCTTCGCCTCCACCTGCCCCAGCTGAGTTCACCCAGGAGGGTCACAGGCCCCTGGGCAGCCTCCTTGCTGCCTGCCAAGCCTCAGCAGGGGCCTTGACGGCACGTCTGAGCTTGTTCCACGAGGGAATGAGTGGGTGCCCAGGGCCCTGGTCGGCTTCCTAGGGCCAGTTTCCCAGTTTAGGACTCAGTAGCTGCTGGGACATTGTCAAGTGTGAGGACACACGAAGGGGTATGCATCTTCCCTCTCGCCCCTCCTGCGGTCCTTGATCTAGTCTCCTCCCTGCTAAAGTGATGGCAAGTGTGTTGTGGAAACAGCAGTTCAGGTTGCTTTTGCTGGCCATTGAATCTCATTTTCTTTATTTAAGTGAGAAACGATCACAGAACACTAACATAGGAGGCTTGGCACTCTGCATTGAAATGGTGCCTGTGTAGGCAGAATAACGGCCCCTCAAATCGCTCCCTGTCCTAGTTCCCCCAAATCCGGGACTCTGTTACCTCCCTTGGCAAAGGGGACTTTGCAGATGTGACAAGTTAAGGGTGTGGAGGTGGAGAGATGGCGCTGATTACAATGTAGTCACGGGCCCACGTGGGAGGATGGCAGAGCTCTTGTGAGAGGCCGAGACGGAGGGTGATGAGAGAAGCAGAGGTGGGAATGATTTCAGATTTGGCTGGAAGGATGCACAGGCCCAGCTGGACAGGCAGGGACGGAGTCTCCCCGGAGCCTGCTGGAGCACGGCCGGCCGTTACCTCGGCGTTAGCCCCGTAGAACCTGGTCCAGACCTCTGACCTCCAGCAAAGTGGGAGGACGCTCTGTGTGGCTTTAAGCCACTAGATTGGCGGTGCTCCATCACCGCGGCGATAGGAAGCCCAGTCCGTGCTCTGACATCTGTCTGTCTGGAAACCAGACGCAGGCCCTGAGGAAGCCCACGGCCCCTGAACAGGTGACCACCGGAGCCCCCAGTCTGTGCTGCTCCAGACAGCACAGTGTGGGGAGGGGGTACCCGGCCTCCCTCTGGGTGGCAGCAGCAGCCCACAGAGAAGCCCGGGCCGGGCTGTGCCGTCTGACATGAGAGCATCTTGCCCTGGGCACGAAGGCCCAATCACTCATGTCACCCGATAAACACACTTGAGTGCTGAGCTTGTGCTCAGAACTGAGCTAAGCACCGGGCACAGGTCAGAAAACAAAATCCCACAACTCCATCCTCGGTCCCAGCGCTGTTGATTTGACGATAGGCAGCTCACAAATGGATAAATGCACTTGACCTCAACCATCCGCTCGAACACTGGGCCAGCCCGAGAAGACACTGTGATAAGAGGAGGGCCTGTGGGGTTGGATCAGATGGGGCTGGCATGGGGTGGGTTAGGGTCTAAGGTAGGGGTGTCGAACTCAATCAGAGAAGGGGCCAAAATCTAAAATCCAGCCTAAATCTCGGGCCGAATGGTTTACTGAACAGTCATAAACTGTCATTGTGATGGAAACGCAGCGGAGTGCAGTGATGACAGCGCGGTGCAGGCCACATTGCAAGGCCTGGCGGGACGGATTTGGCCCGCGGGCCTTGTGTTTGACACATGTGCTCTAAGGTGTCTACAATGGCAGTCCTTGGTGACTGGGCTCCGGCCTGTCCAGGGCCTTGCCCGGCCCAGGTCTGGGTCTGACTTGTCCCCAGAGAACTTCTGGCCGCTCGGGCCAACACCAAGGTGCACACGCGCATGGCTTAGGTTCCCAACCTCTCCTGTGCGCTCCTCCCACAGATCGAAGGGACCCAGAAACTGCTCAACAAGGACCTGGCAGAGCTCATCAACAAGATGCGGCTGGCCCAGCAAAACGCCGTGACCTCCCTGAGCGAGGAGTGCAAGCGGCAGATGCTCACGGCCTCCCACACCCTGGCCGTGGACGCCAAGAACCTGCTCGATGCCGTGGACCAGGCCAAGGTCCTGGCCAACCTGGCTCACCCGCCTGCCGAGTGAGGGGCGGTGGGCCGCCCGCCCGCGTCTTCGCCCCTTCTGTCATGTGCCGCCCTTGCCCCCAGCCCCGCCCCGCCTTCGGCCACATGGGTCTTCTCAGGGGGAAGGCCGAGAGGAGTCCTTCCCTTGCCACTTTGCACGACCCCCCTCTCCCCACCCGACACCCAGACTGTGCTGCTCAGGCTGCAGCTGGACAGAGGGGACTCAGGGCAGTAGAAGCCACGGGGGTGGCTACGAGGGCTCAGAGGGAGCACCGCGGCCACTGGCCATGTCCTTCTCCTACCGGCCGGGCCTGCTGGGGGTCCCACTGATGCCCCTAGTGGCCACGATGGCTTTATGCATGGACATAGCAGGCCATTTGGGAACCAAGCCATTCATTCCTCTTCCTCTTCTGCCCACGGAAGTGCCCCCGATGCAGAGGGGACTGAGAGGGGCTTTCTTTTGCCGAAGGGGCTGGTTGGTGAGATGAGAGCTGGACCTGGCTTTCTTGTACAGTGTATATTGGAATTTATTTAATGTGAGTCTGGTCTGGACTGACAGCCATGCACCCCTGGAGCAGGGACCTGGGACGCTGTCCAGCCACAAGCTAGTGGGAGGCCGGGCACAGGGCGCCGTGTGGCCAACGCGCCAGCTGTCGAGGAGAAGGGGAGTGGAGGCCACACGGGACTTGGACCACAATCCACTTTCCTCCTCGAGCCCACTTTTCTCTTCCTTCCTTATTTTGCCTCCTCCTCCTTCTTTCCTCTTTTCTCATTCCTCCCTTTCTCTCCCCTTCCTCACCGGCTTCCCCCACCCTCCTCCTCTCTCCTGTTTGTGCAGATCACCCTTTATGTTCTTTCTATCTGCCTTGTGGATGAATTAAAGTGTACTATTTGCTTTGTGGTTTGACTGCTTTGCTTGTTTGACCTGCTGTCAGTAGGGGAACACTGACCTCAAACCACAGCCCTCCCTCGAAGAAATGGATGGTGCTCAGCTGGGCAGAGATCAAGGGCTGCTGCCTGGGCTCATCCGAGGGGCACCTGGTGACACCCAGGCAGTGGGGTCAGACATGAGCCCCAGCCCCTGTGCCCCTGCACCTGACCAAGGGGGCATTTTCCAGGGGGGTCCCAGGGCAGCCCCCCGCCCCCCATAGGCACGTGAGGATTGCCAGTGGAATGGCACTCTCGCAGCGGGCATGCCCACAACCAGGGCTCTGGGGGAGGTTCTGGGGATGCTGACAAGGGGTCCCACAGAGCAATGAACAGCAGCTTTCATTTCGTTTGATTGCTTTATTCACGTGCAAGATGGATGGGAGCCAGACTAACGTGGGGGAACATCTCGGCAGCAGGAGATCCAGGCTGGAGGAGCCAGGAAGGGGGGGGGGGGGTTGGGGCTGTGTACACTGAGGCAGGGAGGGGTCAGAAATCAGAATGGACCACTGAGGAGGGGGGGGGGTCTTGGGAGAGAACTGAGGAGCAGAGGCTGGGCTGAGGTGTCTTGGGTTTCCACTTGGTCTGTCAGGGAACGGTGAGTGGGGACTTTGGGAGGAGAGGACCCCAAAGGCCGAAGGGAAATTGGAGGCTCGCTCTGCTCGGCTTTCTGCCTGGGGTCCCCACACTGACCCAAGAACCCAGTGCCCACATCTTTGGCTGCTGGGGACGTGGGTCTAGATGGGGCGGGGGCGGGGCCTGATCACTGCAGCCAGGGCCAGGGACTGCTGGATTCCGAGGTTCAAGAACAGACTGCTCAGAGCTGGTCAGAGTCCCATGGGGCTTTGGGAAGGTCAGGGAAGGCCTGCTGGGCAGGGAAGAGGTCCTGGGTCCCACGTGTCTGCATGTGCACAGCAGTCTCGGGTTCAGAATAATCCCCTCACTGCCCTCAGCCCCTCCTGAAGGAGGGAGGGAGCAGGCTGTGGGCTTGATGTGGCTCAAAAGTGGCTCTGGGTGGCCTGTGATGTGTCCACATGAGTTGAGAGGCAGATGGTGCCCTGTAGACAAGGACCCTTAACCTCTTGGGGTAGCTGGTGCTGAGCCGCTTTTCGGGGGTGGGGGGTGGGGGTGCAGGACAAGGCTAAAGGGCATGTCTCAGGACTCACTGGAGCTGGGTGGGCTGGCCCAGTACCAGCATCCGACCATGTACCCTCCTCCCTCTGCCGAGGGTCCCCCTGCATTTCCCCTCCACTGCCCTGCCTCCCCTCCTCCCCTTCCAGAAAGCCTTCTCCGCTCTACTGTCAGATCTGTGGTCTCAGACTCTGAACCCCTTGGTCTACCTGGTTCAGACACCCCAACCCACCTTCCCAACCGCCAGCCTCTCTCTGCTCTCCACACTGGACCAAGCCCACACTTCAGGCTCATTCCAGAACCCACAACGTGCACCCTGCAGCGCCTTCTCCCCCCTCATCCCAATGACGCCTCCTTTGAGGTCTGTGTTCTGTTCCTCCTCACCTGCCCCCACCCCGCCCCTGCCATCTGCTCCCCCTGCTCGGCCCTCCTGTCACTCATGTCTGTAGAGCTCCTTCAGGGGACGCTCACGAGCTTCACGTCGTCAGCGCCGCAGCATCGCCTTCTGCAGAGCAGCTGCCTCCTTTCCTGCTCCTGGGCATCGAAATACAGCTCCGGGCCCAGGAGCGTCTCCGCACGGAGGGCACTTCCGCCAAGTGAGTGGGGCCAGGAAGTCTTTGGTGGCTGGGATGCCACGGAGAGGCACCCGCAGTCACGTGGTGTGGACCCCAAAGGTGGAGTCTAGAGGCAGCAGCAAACACGGTCGGCGGAAGCCAGGGATGGGAAGTCAGATCATTCCGGCCAGGAGCGGGGGCAGGAAGAGACCCACGGTCCCCAGAATGCAGACGATGATGAACAGCCAGAGGAAGATCCTGTCAATGACCATGGCCACGTACTTCCAGTCTTCTTTGACCTGCAGGGGGAGGGCACTCAGAGATAGGCCCTGGCCTAGGAAAAAGGCGGGTCCCACGCATGCCCAACCCTTATGAAAATGGCACGGGGGGGGGGGGGGGGGGGACGCAAGGGGTGCCTCAGGGAGACCGTGAGGAGCTAACATGGGGGTGAGTGTGGAGTAGCGTTGTCTCAAGACTCAAACAATATTTTCCTAAGTGATTCCAGCCCTGTCCTGCCCTTGACATAGGCCAGAGCTTTCCCGAGGCTCTCAAGTTCAAGGTGAGAGAGGCTGGAGGGGACTAGCAGGTTCTGGGACCACCCAGGGCCCACAGTGGCTTAAACACACCACCCTGTACTTACAGATGGGGAAGACTTCACTGCCCCACATTGCTCCCGCAGCCCCCACTCACCCACCTACCCTAGAAGGTGGAGAGAGGGAGGGGAGGGGAGGTATCCAGAGAAGGTTGGGGGAGTTGGGGGGGGGGCGCTTTGTGGGTTTGGGGCTCACAGTGCAGGTGAGAGGGTCTGAACTCATAGCTGCTCCCAGATTAGATCATGATGAATGTTTCTTATCTACTCCACAAGGCCACCCAGGAATGGCCTCCGGGACTTTCACCCTCCCCTGGGTTGTTAAGAAGAATTCTGTGATCCTGGGGAGTGGCCGGCTCACCTAAGACTGCCGGACAGGGCAGAGGCCAGGGAGGGGGCCCACCTGGTGGACAGTGAAGCTCACAAAATGCCCAGGGCCCACAAACGAGGAGGGAGACATCAGGACAAAGGAGGAAGCAGTAGCCTGATGTGTGGTCTCTCGGGATGATACTCCCTCTGTCCCCCACCCCCACCCCCCCTCACACACACCGCAAACAAAACAAAACAAAACAAAACAAAACAAAAACGGGGCAATGGTGAGAAATGGCGGAGTGGCGTGAGAAACTCTGCGCCTGCAATCCCTCCCTCCATCTAGCTGCCTCCCAGTCAGGCTTTGCTGGTCTGCCACCTGCCAATTCATGTCTTAAGAGCCGCCGACTAGACTTTCTCCCTCACTATTTATTTCCGACTCCCAAGGCCATGACTGAGGGCGATGGGTCCTCTCACGGAGGAGACTGGTTTGGCCCAGCCAACACCCTGGGGTAAGGAGATGCCCTAGGCTGGTGGGGTCACCCAGGGGTGGGGCCCGGCCCCAACTCACTGAAGAGTCTGCGTCCTCAGACCGCAGGTGATCAGCAATGTAGAGCACGCCTTCCAGTGCCTCCTGCAGGTGAGGTGACAGCAGGAGCCCACCCTTCCGCAACGGGGCCTTGGCCTTGGGACCGGAGACCCTTTGGTGCAGACCACCATGGCTGTAGAGGACATCCATGGAGGAGGATGACACCCATCTGTCCTCCTCCTCCTCCTCCTCCTCCTCCTCCTCCTCCTCCTCCTCTTCCTCCTCTTCCCCCCTCTCCTGTGCATCCATGTTGGTCTCCAGCCAGCAATAGGAGGGGTCCAGCTTCAGATCTGGGGAGCCCTGGAGCTCCAAGGGTGGCAGAGGCCGTTTCATCAGGAGCCACCGGGACACGTGGCTCAGGAAGGCCCCTCGCACCCAGCGGGGCATGTTGTGGGTGCGGGGGGAGCGGTGGTGGACATTGAGGACGAAGACCGTGATGACGATGGACAGGGTGACGAAGATCATGGTGAAGAGCAGGTACTCGCCGATGAGCGGGATGACCAGGGAGGTGGAGGGGATGATCTCGGTGATGAGCAGGAGGAAGACTGTGAGCGAGAGCAGCACGGAAATGCACAGAGTGATCTTCTCGCCGCAGTCGGAGGGCAGGTAGAAGACCAGCACGGTCAGGAAGGAGATGAGCAGGCAGGGGATGATGAGGTTGATGGTGTAGAAGAGGGGCAGGCGCCGGATGACGAAGTAGTAGGTGACGTCGGGGTAGATCTCGGCGCAGCAGTCGTACTTCTTGGTGTTGTAGGTGGCAGTGGCGTTGATGATGGCCCACTCGCCACTCTCCCAGTAGTCCTGCAGGTCCACCGTCTGCTCCATCGGCTGCAGGTCAATCTTGGCCTTGTCGTACGACCAGGAGCCGAACTTCATCTTGCAGTTCTGCTGGTCGAAGGGGAAGAAGGTGACGTCGATGCTGCAGGAGCTCTTGTAGATGGCCGGGGGCACCCAGTGCACGGTGCCCGAGGAGAAGAGGTGGGCCTTGGTCATGTGGTTCACCACAAACGCCCCGTCGGCACTGAGGAGAAGAGGGGAGCTGGAGGGCCTGGCACACCCCACCTGCCCAGACCAGGCTGCAGCAGGGGGACCCGACCACAAAGCCAGGCTTGGCCAGGTTATTGGGTTTTAAGCCAGTGTGTGAGGCTCCCCAAGCACACTGCCATTTATAGCTATGGGGCTCTTTCAAGCGCTCTCTCTCTCTCTCTCTCTCTCTCTCTCTCTCTCTCTCCATATATATATATATATATATATATATATATATATATATATATATAACAAAGCAGAAATATTGAAGAATATAAAAATATTCCAAGAATGTCAAAAACAGCCACTATTAACATTCTGATGTTATATCCTATATAATAAAGAGCTAATATGCTAATTAGACTGAACAGCAGAATGATCATCTGGATCAAGCCGGGGCTGTGAGGGCCAGCCAAGGCTGCGAGGGGCTGCGAGAACCTACTCTTACACGAATTTTGTGCATCAGGCCTCTAATATATATATATATATATGTGTGTGTGTGTGTGTGTGTGTGTGTGTATATATATATATATATATATATGAATATATGTATAAAATAAAAGGCTAATATGCAAATGGTTGTCATGCTGTGACATGTAACAACCGATCAGCAAGGACCTGAGGTCACTTGGCACCCAGTGGGCTTGACTGGGAACCTCAGGTTGAGCACCCCCCGCCCCCTCCCCCATCCAGGCACGGGGCTGGGGGACCTCAGGCTGCACCCCCCACCTGGCAGGGCTTGACAGGGGACCTCAGGCCATGCTCCTCACGTGGGGAGCTTGATAGGGGACCTTAGGCCACATCCCCCTGCCCCGGTGCCTGGCTGGAGACCTGGCCACGCCCCTCACCCCAGCACTAGGACGGGGAACCTCAAGCTGCACCCCCTGCCTAGCAGGGCTTGATGAGAGACCTCAGGCCGTACCCCAGGATGGGGCCAGCCAGGTCTGGGTCTCCTGCGATTTCAAAGCACATGCGGGCGAGCAGGGACTTGACTCTGAGTCCTGCGGCATGCCCCAGACTCTGACAGGAGGGAGATTTTCATATACATTTTACTAATTTTCTTTCATCTGTGACACTTCTATTAGAGAAAGGGCAAATAGCAATATTAAAATATTTCCTCTAATTAAGTCCCTTTTAATGTGCATGAATTTTGTGCACTGGGCCATTAGTATACATATAGAATATAGAATATAGAATATAGAGTATAGAGTATAGAGTATAGAATATAGAATATAGAATATAGAATATAGAATATAGAATATAGAATATATCTTTTTGATTGCCCTATAGATCATATATATATATATATATATATATATATATATATATATATCTCGATATGTTTATGGGGTAGTTTAGCTTGATTTTTCTGTTTGTGTCCATTTACCCGTGTAAAGTGATTATTTATGAGTGCATTTTCTCCCCCGCAGCAAATGGTAAGGACCTCCACTGGGGGTCACACCTTGTCCACCTGGGATCCTGAGTAGCTTGCTGAGAAGAGACCCGACATCTTTGCTAGTAAAGGAAGGTAATTCCTGGATGCCATCCATTTACCGAGCATTTCTGAGCCAGCCTCACCCACTGGGCCTACAGGGAAGCTGTGGGGGGACAGTGTGAGACTCAGCCTGCCCTGAAGGAAGCAGGAGGAATGGGACACAGCCCCAAGCACCCACCCCCCAAGGGAAGTGGTCTGACAGCAGCGCTCTGAGGGCTGTCTGAGCTCTCCTCAGGAACTGCGTGGGGAACTCGCTTCTGGCTGGAGTGAGCAGGGTCACCATGAAAGCTGCCACTTGAGCGAGGCCCTGACTGATGACAGGACTTGCTGGGAGATGAGGTGGAGAAGGTCCGAGCAGAGCATCCTCCAGAACAAGGAACAGGAGGCGAAGCACAAAATCCATGGGGTGTGCGTGGATTAAAGGGGCAGGGCCTGCTGCGTCACCGAGCGAGGCATCTAAGGACCCACCTGGGCTCTGGAAACACTGGAATTGGGCACCTGAACCCCTGATTCCCTCTAGGAGGTGGCACAGTGTTCTGCTCCCTAGTCCTATGTAATAAAAGCATAGTATGCAACTTGTCCCCTGGACCCGGAGTTTGACCAGGGGGCGGGGCCGGCTGGGAGAAGAGAGGGAGTACCCTGCTGGCAGCCAGCACTGCTAGGGACCCTACCAATGCATGAATTTCATGCATTGGACCTTTAATCTTTAATAATTCTCAAGGTCAATCCTAAAGGCAGGAGAACCAGAACATGCAGGAAGAGAATTCTTTCCCATGGAGTCATTCCAAGCTAGAGATTAGAAAACCGGAAACTTTAAAAAACAAAAACAAACAAACAAACAAAAAACCCCACTGGCCCAGCCAGGGGCATGGCACAGTGGCTGAGTGTTGCCTATGAACCAGAAGGTCAAAGTTCGATTCCCTGTCAGGGCACATACTGGGATTTCAGGTTTGAGCCAATAGTGTGGGGCATGCAGGAAGCAGCTGATTAATTATTCTCTCTCATCATTGATATTTCTATATCTCTCTCCCTTCATCTCTGAAATCAATAAAAAATATATTTTTAAAGAAAACGCTGGGAATTTTGAAAGAGAATCACAGATCAGGCAAAAGTTAAAAAAAAAATTTTTTTTTAAGGCATTGTGTCTTCACACACAGTCACCACTAGATGGCCACATGCCCCCTATTTTGAGGAAGGAGAGTGGGATTTCTTTGATCTTTCTGTAACCCTGGAATGGGGTGTTTCCGAGGCGGAGATCCTTCTTCAAATATAAGAATTTGGTTTGCACTTTTGTCCTATCGTAAGATTCACCTGTTATATTCCAGTAACACAGGCCAAAGCCTGATTGGCAATCCTCAATCCCCAGGGCATCTGTGATACTGAGGACTTGGCATCTGACCTGTGCCAGAAGCACATGAAGCCGAAGGTCTTGGGTACTGGCTTCAGGGCACAGAGATATGGGGGAGGTGCCTGTGATTCTGGGCAGCAGCAGGCCCTGGGCCCGTGCGGTGTGGACTCCTGGTAGCCCATGCTGACTCTTCACAGAAATGGCTCCACTGAGAGGCAATCCTTGTGGTTGCTCTTGGATCCAACCGGAGGCACCAAACCTCCAAAAATGTATCTTTTCCCTTTGTCTTATTGTTTTTAAAAAACGGTGTTTCCAAAGTTGGCTCCAACAAATCGGGAAATGCCTGACTGGATTGGTTTCCTGCCTGCACAGCTTCTAACATTGAGATGCTACTGAGTGTACTGACATTTCCCGAAGGACTGGGAGGTCAACATGGAGGCGATGTATGTTATCCAGAATTATCTGGCCACAGGACCATTTTTTCATGTCTGTTCACATCTCCAGGTTTTCCTGAGAGCCCCACTTTAGACAGCATCCCATGTCAGATGAACACAATGCCAAACACCTTTTCATTTTAAACTCTAGCCTTTCCAATGAAGAACTACCTGTGGCCAAACACCATTTGTCCTTCCCCTCCCTCCTCTGTTGCCGGGCTCTCTAGAGACCATCTGGCCTTGTCCTGGCTTCTAGTCATTATGCTCAAAGTCTGGTCGTGTTTGGTCTTGAATACAAGGCAACTGTAAGTGATATGATTTTTGAAAATACCCAGGCCAAGGGAGCTTGCTGCCTTCGAGGGTGGTAGGTACCCCAGCCGCTGCTTACCTGTTCCAGCAACACTACCATCCTGCAAGAGCCCAGCCTGAGGCATTGCTTTCACAGCCTGCACCAACCGCGTTTTGCAAATAACAGCGTTGGGAAATCCGTATCCCACAAGCACTGATACACAATAGGTGCTCAGTACATTCGGGTGTGGGTAATGATAGATCCTCCCTTCCTCCAATTGATGGACAGAGGTAAACACCTGCAGCCGGACATTCCTGAGCATTGAACCACCAATCAGCATCTGCCAAATACCCCAAGCCCCCAATTCCTAAGTCCCTAGGTCCCTAATCATAGGCCTTACATGAAACCACCAGTCAGCATGTGCTGAGTGCCCTAAGCAACGTCCCCTATCTTCCCCTTAAAAAGGTGCTTGTACCCCAGCCCTCGCTCTCTTCCGCTCTTTCTCTGGAAGCAGCCGGCAGTGGTACTCTTCTCTTCAATAAAGCCTGTGTCCTGGCATTCCGGTCTCCGGCCCCTCTCCATTTCATCTTTCAGGTAAGAGAGCAATACGAAAGAGATAAAGGCCTCTAGAGAAAGGGTCGGAGTAGGAGCCAGTGATAGCAAAACAGGACTTCGGAGGAGGACGTACAGGTGAGACACAAGGGGGCGCGCTCTCCCAGTCCAACCCACAAACTCCTCCCAGGGGCCCTCCCCAGGCCGCAGCGGCCTCCTACTTGTTGTAGAGGACAATGTCCGGGATCCAGATCATCTCCGAAGGGACCCGGAGGGACGTGATGTTGCCGAACTCCGCCGGGTTCCAGCGCAGCTTGTAGTCGCTCCACTCCTGTGCGTGGGGAGGGAGGTCAGGGCGCCCGGTGCCGGCGGGGAGGAGGTCTCAGGGCAATCGTGGGGCCGCCCGGACGCCCCAGCAGCCGCGTTCAGGGGCACCAGAGCTGGTCACCCAGCCCCACCGAGCAGAGGGGCTGGAGCTGGGAATCGGGAGTCTGGCCGGACGTGGCCAATCTCTCGCTTTGCCCAGCTCTCATGTTCAGAGTCCCGGGCACACTTAGACCCTAAGTCATCCTAGTCCCGCTTCTAGGCATCTTCGTTCTGCTACTCCCTAGCCTAGAGGGACAACGTAGCAGAGGGAGAAGGGAGGACCTCACTCATTTGCAGTAATTTTTTTTTTTAAGCATTACAATTTACAGGGGTTTTTTTTTGCACCCGGGCAGGGAATGCCAAAAGGTGGAAGTATTTCTCCATTTCACAGATAAGGAAACTGAGGAGCAGAGAGGTAAAAACCTGCCAGAAGCCGAAACCGGTTTGGCTCAGTGGATAGAGCATCGGTCTGCGGACTGAAAGGTCCCAGGTTCGATTCCGGTCAAGGGCATGTACCTTGGTTGCGGGCACATTCCCAGTAGGGGGTGTGCAAGAGGCAGCTGGTCGATGTTTCTCTCTCATCGACGTTTCTAGCTCTCTATCTCTCTTCCTTCCTCTCTGTAAAAAATCAATAAAATACATTTTAAAAAAAAAACCTGCCAGAATATACAGCTAAGAAAGGTTAGTATTATTCACTCTCTGAAGTTTCCTCTAAGGCACTGTCACAAACGGTAATTACATGTGGACGTGCGTGTTTGTTGATTTAATGCCCCTGTAAGGTCCATGAAGACTAGGACAACATCTGCATTTCTAGCACCTCGCCCCTGGTAGATGCTCAATAAATGAATATCCCAGCAATGAAAAAACTCCCAAGTTGTAGGGTCCTATTTCTGGGAGGGTTTCCCGTGTCCCTTCTGGACCTAAAAGGAACAACCACTCCCAATAGAGAATGACTGGCATTGACATACAAGCCTGTCCTTGCCTCATGGGGCTTATAATCCTAATATATAAAAAGCCAGGGTCTGTCAAGACCAAAACAACCATACGAATGACCGAACAGCAGGCTGTGTGGGGGAATCAGGCCAGCAGGGGAGGGGGTAGTTTGGGGCTACCAGGCTGGTGGGGGCAGTTGGGGGTGACCAGTCCAGCATGGGAGGAAGTTGGGGATGATTAGCCCTGTAGGGGGGAGCAGTTAGGGGCAATCAGGCAGGCAGGCAGGTGAGCAGTTAGGAGCCAGCAGTCCCAGATTATGAGAGAGATCCCGGATTGGAGAGGGTGCAGGCTGGGCTGAGGGGGACCCCACCCCCCATGCACAAATTTTGTACATCGGGCCTCTAGTAATTAAAATAATAACCACTACCATCTATAAAGTCAACTTTGTTGGCAGCACTGGGGCTTGAACCCTGCCTCCTGGTCCATGGGCCAGTTTGCTTTTGTGCATTTGCACTAAAACGGCGCCATGTTGGAAAAAGCCCCATGCGTGATGCCGTTTCCCCTCTGGGAATAGTCGTGTAACATTTACACAAATGAGTGAACCTAGGGAGGGGGGATCCAGGGAGGAGAGGAAACTGGCCCTTCAGAGGAAAAGCCCTGCCCCTACTCCTGCCTTCACCAGGAGGGGCCCTCACCTGCTTTAGCCAGACGTTGGTGGTCATCATTTGGTTCTTCTCATCCTGGCCAGGAGGCAGTGGGAGAGAGGAGAGGAGATGTTAGAGTGGCAGAACCAGCCCCAGAAGACAGGGAAACCTGGGGGTGGGCTGACTCAAGCCCCTCCCTCTCTAGAAGGCCATCTTACATGATACAGCAAGCCCAGCCCGGCCGAGACCGTCCAAACACTGTGGCCCTCACTCAGATTCTTCAGGATCACACAGGCCACTTGGGTCTTCTGGGCTTGTGTCCAGTGAATGAGCAAAGCATCTAGACAGCCCACTGCTAACTCAGTGTCCTCCCAGGAGGGGCCCCAGGGCTAGGAGGGAGGTAAGCTCTGATTGGGGTGGGCTGGGGGTGCACAGGGACAGGCGCTGGAGCTGAGGGGGGAGAGAGGACCCCAGGAAGGGGTTCTGTGATCTGGGGGCTGGTCCCTAGGGCTCAAGGGCAGTGGGACAGCCATACCACATCGATGAGCTGGGCTATGGACAGCCCGAAACGCACGATGACCACGTCCGAGGAGTGGGGCACTGGCCGTGCCCAGCGGTTGTAAGCCCTGAAGAGGTGTTTGAAGAGGCGATCCTCGGCTTGGATGTGGGGGGCTCTGTGGGACACTGTGGGACAGGAAGGAAGAGTGGGGGCTCCAGGAGTCCATGGTGGTGGCTGCCCAACTCCCTCTCCCATCAAACCAGAGCCGCTCAACCGCACCCAGCCTCAGTTTCCTCATCTGTAAAGTGGGGACGCTCTCCGGAACCTATCTCACAACACTATTGAGGATTCCATAGGATAATGCAGTGGTCGGCAAACTCATTAGCCAGCAGGGCTAAATATCAACAGTACAGCAATTTCAAAAGATTGAAATTTCTTCTGAGAGCCAAGATTTTTAAACTTAAACTTATTCTAATGCCACTTCTTCAAAAATATAATAGACTCGCCCAGGCCTTGGTATTTTGTGGAAGAGCCACACTCAAGGGGCCAAAGAGCCGCACGTGGCTCACGAGCCTCAGTTTGCTGACCACTGGGATAATGTTCATGCGAACTTAACAACCAGCACATGGTTGGAACTCAAGAAGTGTCCGTTGCTCTTTGACTATTCTCTCCGAAGGCATGGAAACAGTGCCGAGGAGGGGTGTCAAGGCCGAGGAGTGAGGAAGAAGTCAGACCGAGAGACCGAAGTGCAGCCCAGAACTGAGGAGCTCAGGGAAAGTGTCCCTAACCTGTCTGATGGGACTCTCCATGTCTGTTCTGTGGACAGCTTCACCTCGTAGGTTCTGCTGCCTGAGCGGGTGGAGGCGAACATCTGGAGAAGCACATCCATAGCAGCAGTCGCCATGCATCCAGCATGACTGTATTCCAGGTGCCAGTCACAGCCTCTCATCGCATGGGGATCCTTCCAGCCCGCCTGGGAGGGTCACAGCACGACTGGCACTTGTGGATGAGGGACACTGGAGCCGGGGTTCTGGGTGCTGCAGCTGCCGGTGTCTGACCTATGTGCGCCCTGCCCCTCACTGTGGATCTAACAGCTTAGAGACCCTGAAGATCTGCCGAGCGCCCCCCCCCCATACCCACGCAGGAGTTTCCTCCACAGCATGTGAGCTCGCAGGTGTGACCTGATGTCCTCATGATGACACTCACTCACCTGCTGGGGTCAGAAGGAGCCACCACAGGCCGAGCTTGGCCATGGGTGGGAGTGCAGGACGGGAGGGGCCCATGGCTTCCGAGGAGAGGTCTGGCTGCCCCGAGCATCAGAAGGAGGACAGGCCAGGACTTTGCTATGGTTGAATCTTGGCTGCCTCCCCAGCAGGGCCTCGAGTTGCTGGCATGACAGAGCTCCTGCTGGATCCCACGCAGCTCCCTCTCACCGCCAAACCTGAGCAAGCCCAAGGGAGGGTCTTAGGGACACGCATCCTTGTTACAGATGTGCCTTTGCGCCTCCCACTCCGCACAGGTGTAAAAGGTGAGGACCAGGCCTCCTGGGAGGGAGGGCTCTTGGGCTCTCCTTGGTTTGAGGACCAGCACCTTTCACGTTCTCAGGGTCAACCAGCTATTCTGCCCTCAGATAAACCTGAGCTCGCTGGACCGAGAAGGCACAAGATGACACCAAAGTCTCCATTTTTCCGTTCTCAGTGTTGCGTGTGTAAAATGAGGATAAGCAGGCCAGGCAGTGTACCTCAGTGGCTGAGTGTCGACCTTGAACCAGGAGGTCAAGGTTCGGCTTCCAGTCAGAGCACATGCCCAGGGTTGCAGGCTTAATCTCCAATGGGGGCTGTGCAGGAGGCAGCCAGTCAACGATTCTCTCTTATCATTGATGTTTCTATCTCTCTCACTCCCTCTCCCTTCTTTCCTGAAATCAATAAAAATATATTTAAAAAATAAAATAAAATGAGGATAAACATACTGAAAAAGGGAAGCCAAAAGGAGAATTCTGGTGCTACTTATGCTAGCCAAGGGGTGCAAGTGCCCAAATGCCAATCAGCTGAGGGCTGGATGGACAAAACATGGTACATCCATAAGATGGACTACTGTGCAGTCACAAAAAAGGATGAGTTGCTGACACATGCTACAGTATGAATGAACCTTGAAAACATTATGCAAAGAGAAAGACACCCGACTCAAAAAACCATATGTTCTACGATACGTGCATGTGAAGTATCCAGAATAATAACTCTATGGGGACAGAAAGTGATTGCCAGGTTTTGGGGGGAAGGGAGAAAAGGGAGGGATTGCAAATGGCGCAGGTTTCTTTTGGGGAGATGAAAGTGTTCTGTACATAGAGATGATGATTGTGAATTGTGATTGTGAATATAATAAAATTCACCACCTTGTACACTTTAAACATATGCATGTTATGGTATGTGAATTATATCTCAAAGACGCTGTTATTAAAAAAAAAAAAAAAAAGCTTCAACATCTTCTGGAATGATAAGAAATAGCCAACTCTGTTTAGGCTGTGGAGACGAGACTATAAACCAGACTGCTGGCAGCTGGTTCAAACTGTGCTTCTGGTTACGCGCAGGACACTGATGTTGAAGATGTGAGTGAAGCGTGGAGAGCGGGGGAGAGCCGTGTTTTTAAGTGAGTGTATTGTTTTATACAGTATGTGAATGATAACATGTGCCACTGGAAAATATATGAATATTACCCTAAAAAGTTTACCTATTCAAGCTAGTGTTTTAAAAAGTCAAAACCTTCCTCATTGGGAGGCTGGGGTTGTCTTAGGTTCAGGCACATCTTCTTCACATCAATGTGTTAGGCTCTGGCCAGGTCCTCAGCACATAATCTGACTCTCGATACAAATAGTGGGCACCAGGGTTTCCTTTTAGGATAACGAGAATGTTCCAGAACTAGATAGGGGTGGCAACTGGCACAACATTGTGAATGTACCAAATGTCACTAACGGCGAATTACATGTTATGTATATTTTACCACAATCTAAAAAGAAGAAAAAAAGGATATGGCTGGAAGTGCATTAACAGTGTCACCACCGAGTTCATGTGGGGGCCAGATTTATTATTAATGGGGTCATAAAATGCGTTCGATCTGGCTCCCTCTCTTGCCCCCAGGCCATTCAGTCCCAGCTCTTGGAGTAGGGGTTCCATCACTGGTGCTTCACTTCTCCTCAACCTGTCACCCCAACCTCCCGCCCTCCATGCAGGAGAGGCGTTTGTAAGTGTGGCTTTGAGTCTTGGCCCCACCACCTGCAGGGCAGCCTTGTGCAGGGCACTGGACCCGCTGGCATTTTGTCTTATCTAGAAGAGAAGGACGGCACAGTCTCTATCCCTGAGGATGTATCCCGTCCCTTCCGAACTTCCCTGGGGCCATCAGTGACTGCCTGACTACCTGACCTCTTCTAGCGCCACTATCTAGAAGTTTTGTTTGCTTCTAAAATAAAGAGGAGTTTTAAAATTCAGTCGTTTAGCGCTACAATCACACATACACAAGGAGTCCCCGCTTTGTTTTCCGTTCGTTGTAAGAAGACAGGGCCGGGAGAGCACAAGGAGAGAAGATTCTAGGGTCCCTTGCCTGACAACTCCTAGAGGATCTTCCTAAGGACTGTTGGCATTTGTGCAACTTTAAGGTTTGCAAGGCATTTTCATGCCCTTTCTTAGACATCACATCACCTTGAGGAGGGCATGGGGAAGATACATTATTACTGTATTTTTCGGACCATAAGACACACTTTTTTCCCCCCAGAAGTGGGGGGGGAAAGTCCCTGCGTCTTATGGTCCAAATATAGCCTACACATATACTTTAAAAAAAAAAGTTTTTTTACTTGCCCGGCTCTGTGTGGTCTCTGTGTGCTTGCCCGGCTCTAAAATGGTTCTAAATGCTGCTGTTTACTTTACAGGGTTGATTACATGTGTTTATGACTGTGATGTTGGGTTTTAATGCACATAAAATATTTTAGGACACTATTTGTTTCAGAATCTTTTTTTCTTCATTTCCCTTCTCTAAAAACTGGTGTGTCTTATGGTCCGGAGCGTCTTATGGTCCGAAAAATACGGTATCCCTTTTATATAAATTTTAAAAATATTGATGTTCAGAAATAGTGACTGATTTGCTTCTAAACTATGATGCAGTAAAGCACTACCCAATGGTACCAACCAGGAGGGGAATTTTGTGAGCACCTGGGCCAGCACTTGTGACAGGTCTAGCACTAGGACTGTCGTTGCGAAGCCACATCAGGACAGAAGTCTGCAGTGGGCAGGTGGTGAGAAGGGATAGGTACCCCACTCCAAAGCCAGACTCACCTAGATCCACGGTTGTAGGCGGTTCTTCTATGTGCAAAATTCACTCCCTGCTCCTTCCAATCAAATGCACTAAATAAAACAAATATCCCCCCCCCCCCTCGTTAGTGAGAATAGGAAGGAAAAATAGAAATCCAGGCGTGCTAAAATTGCATCCTATCAAGATCCGAAGAGAGGCACCCAGGACCCTCTGGAAGAATGTCCAAAGGTGATTTCAATGGACTCTGGAAGACACATCCCTGCAAGATGCCTCAAAGTTACATCCCTTGTAATTAGCACACTATGATAATTTCATTAATTTGTCACGGGAAACCAAAGGAGAAATTGTTCCAGGTAATTGACTGTCATTAGAGTGACCTTCTACTTCCTATTAAAGGAGAAAGAGCCCTAAGCACTTTGGTCCTGGAAGTGGCTGGATTGGCAGGCTTATGGGAGAAGTGGCTGTGGGGTGATGTCCCTCTTTGTAAAGTGGGTCTGAGTGAATGGAGTGCACAGAGAGATCCACACAAAAACATTGCACAAAGGGCTCAGCACTAACATCCTCGCTGAGCCTGTATTACTGTGTCAAGGTTCCTTGGGCTTGCTTCTTTGTCTATCTCCCTACGGCAGTTGGTTTACAACCTCATACCCACCAGGCCACGTTCTGTCCTTTTCTCAAGCACCAACTTCTCCAGAAAGCCTGTTTAGATCCCATCAGCCCCTCCCTGCCATTAATCCCCCACCCACTCAGTATGGGAGTCTCAACTCCCCCGCAACCATCAATACCCCGAAGAAAGCCCCTTGGTTAAAGGAAATGGAATTTCCCCCCCACATAATTTCGCTAAAGGTGCTTGGGAATGGGGGTGGGGTTAGTGGGGGAGCATTGTATGTGGTAGTTTGTATAACTGCTCTGCTCAATAAACTGAGCAATCGCAGAAGCTTAACATCTCAAGGTTGGGCGAATCTTAAAGGTCATCTGGATCACCACACCGGCTGATCTAGGAACGCTCTCCAAATTCTAGCCTTAGGAAAAAAAAAAACCCAAAAAACCAGCAATGAAGAACTTGCTACCTCCCGAGTCAGTGAATACCATTGATGTCTGTTACTCATTATTTAAAGGACATAGAGTAGCGACTGAATGAATCAGTACACGACAAAGGAAGGAATAGGAGTCATAGTGACATAGGATCAGATTTAATATAGTCTATAGTAAAGCTATAACTCCTGAAGCTAGCTAGCTCCCCTTCTCAGTGGGCGGGGTTGACTGTCTGAACAGCCCCAGCGGGGACAACTGGAAAACTACAATTTTCCTAGGAGCCGGTAACTTCCAGCATTCTGACATACCCCCTCCTAAGTACCCAGAAGCTATTAATCTATCTGGTAATATCCCTTTGACCTCACCCCCACAATGTCCCCACACCCACAATGTTCCCAACACAAGCCATGTTACCTGAGGCCGCAGAAGAAGACCGGCCATTCAAAGAATGCAGAGAATCAGCCTGGAGATCCCGGACAGCTGGCAAAAGTCCCCCAAAACAGAGAGGCAGGTGCAGAGCAGAGCTGGGTGCCTTCATTTCGTGCTCACTCTGAGGCTGACGAGGACGACCGGATTCTGAGAGTCAGGCTGGCTTCCTGGGGAGGGCCAGACAAGTTCTACAGACAGGTCTGTCTGCCTGGGGCTCCCTGCAAAGCCTCAGGCAGGTGCTCCGGAGGAGGGCATTGTGGAGAGCTGGACACAAAGGCTTCTGCAGGTAAAAGGCAAACCCGTCCACAGGAGGCACTGCTGCCTTGGCAAGCACACACACTCACTCTCATCCTCTCTCTCTCTCTCTCTCTCTCTCTCTCTCTCTCTCTCTCTCTCTCTCTCTCTCACACACACACACACACACACACACACACACCCTCTCTGAAGGGAAGGAGGAGGAGGAGCCTGTGACTATTCAGTCTGTGTCCAGAGGGGACAGACAACAGATTTGCTTTCCCTTGTCCAGAGGAATGCTCTGCTTTTTGCTCTGAAGGATCCCAGGCTCCTGGGTCACTGCCTGGGCCCCGACCCACCCTCAGGTGGGGGATCTCCTGAGTCCTGGGTCTGTGGGTCAGCAGAGAAGTATAGTTTTGAGTAAAAGAGGATGGAGTCACTGAAGAGCCAGCCTACAGTTTTCTCCTTGCCCTTCCCCCCAGAGTCCCCATCTTCCCCAGCCAGCCTCCTGTGGGGACACCAGGTCACTCCTGCTACCACCCGGTTGGCCTGCCACCTCTCAGCCTCCTTGCTGGTGATCTTGCCTTCCATTTCTCAGAGAAGCAAGGTTAGACTCATCCCAATCGCAAACAGACCTCTGGCATCCTCTCTTCCAGCATCAAACAGGGAGTTCTGTTCCTCCTTCCGTGCAGGCAAAGTTAGCACCTGTGGTCTGGAAGGTGTCCCAGCTATTAACTGTCCC